CGATTAATGGATCGTACGATAGCTCTTTTTTTTAACATTTTGAGGAACCTCCACACTGTTTTCCACAGTGGCTGCACTAGTTTGCATTCCCACCAACAGTTCATGAATGTTCCCCTTTCTCCACATCCTCACCAACACCTGTTGTTTCTTGTGTTTTTGATTTTAGCCCTTCTGACAGGTGTGAGGTGATATTTCGTTGTGGTTTTGATTTGCGGTTCCCCGATGATGAGTGCGCTTAAATAGTTTTTAACTACTTCTGAATCTAATAAAACTTGAGTCTGACAGCAATATTCATTCTGAGCCTGTGGAATATCACCTTAGGTTTTCTGAGATTCCCTTTTTAGGGATTGTAGAAGTTATTGCAGATAACTAGATATATCCAAAAGGACAAAGAAATTGTGCCAAAGGAGCAGATACAGAGCTGGAGAGAATCTACAGGAAAAGGAACCCCTAGGCACGCATCAGAGGCTGAGTCTGTATGAACTGAAAATTCACCCATGTTCTAGTTCTAATGCTATGTAACAAACAGCCCCAAAATACAGTAGCATAAGACAGTCATTTTAATATGATCATGGATTGTGTGGGTCAGAAATTCAGACGGGGAAGATTTGTCTCTGCTCCACCAAGCCTGGGCCTTTAGCTAGGAGATTCCATGGCTGGAAGTGACAGGTTATTTAGAAGCTGAGCTCATCTGCAGCCTTCCTCACTCACAGGTCCGGCAGTTGATGCTCGCTGTCAGTGGGAGCCCAGCTGGGATGTCAGCCAGGACACCTACGCATGGCCTCCCATGTGCCCTGGGATTCCTCATAACACGGTGACTTCAGGGTGGTCAACTTCCTGCATAGTGACTCACACCTCCAAAGGTGAGTGTCTCAGTGAACAACGAAGAAGCTGCATCACCTTTTATGACCTAGCCTCAGAAATCACGCAGTACCACTTCCCACAGGGTGTGGGAGTTTTAAAAAATGTCCACAAATTCTTTGATTCTCCCTTTCAAGGGTGCACCTAATTCTCCTGCTCTATACTTAGTGACTCATATATCATGAATGCAATATTGCAGAGTGATGGTATATGATCTCCAAGACTAGGTAATAAAAGGCACTGCAGCTCCTTCCTTCCACACCCATCCCTGTCCTGTTCTTGAAGCCAGCTGCCATGTCATGACCACCCTCAAACAGCCCTACGGGGAGGTCCTGCCAAGAGTCATGTGAGCCGGCTATCTTGGATGTGGATTGTCTTAGTTTGTTTGGGCTGCTATAACAAAAATACCATGCACTGGGGGGCTTAAACAACAAACACTGATTTCCCCCAGTTCTAGAGGCTGGGAAGTCCAAGATCAAGGTGTTGACAGATAGGGTGCCTTGGCAAACATTTACTGGTTTCTTCATAAATGGCTGTCTTCTTGCTGTGTCCTCATCTGGCAGAAGGGTGAGAGAGGTCTCAGGGATCTCTTTTATAAAAGCACTAATCCCATTCATAGGAGCTCTACCCTCATGACCTAATCACCTCCAGGTTGCACCTCCAAATACCATCACTTTGGAGATTAGCTTTCAACACAAATTTTGGGAGGACATGGACATTTAGCCTGTATCCCGGATCAAGCCTTCAGCTGATATCTCAACTGTAACCTGAGACCCTGAACCAGAACTACCCACTTAAGCCATTCCCAGATTCCTGTGCTCAGAGACTTAGATAATAAATATCTGCAGTGTTAAGCTGCTAAGTGTTAGGATAACTTGCTACTCTGCCATAGAAGATTAATACACAGGGCCAGGCCACATTCGAGGGAAGGTGACATGCACTCCATTTATCAATGGGAAAAGTATAAAAGAATTTGTGGACATGTTTTAAAACTGTTCTAATTCACAAGGGAACAATAAAGAATTATTTTGTTCCCCACCCACCCACAAAAAAAGTTTAGGTGTTCTATGGAAGCTTCACCACAAAACCTGCTTTTGTTATTTGTTCTTCTTAATGTCAAAACAGTAACATGTGCTAGGAATCCTGGGTTCCTACTTGGTTAAAGAAAAGAGAGTTCTTTTTTTTTTTTTTTTAAAGGAAAAGAGAGTTCTTGATGAAACTGGCCTTCCACCATTGACTTCATTAAAAATATGATTCCTTTTTCTGGAGTTTCTCTCAAGTAGCTTCCGTGAACATATTATGCTTGATCTCACCTTTAACCACGCTGCTCTCAGGCTGGTCCCTACTCTCCTCTTCAATTTCCCTTAGTAGGAAACTAACTCCTATTCATCCTTTATATCCGAGGCCAGGAATCCACCATATCCAAAAATATACTCACCAAAAAAAAAAAAAAAAAGGCTCCTTAGGAACCCACTGCTGCCTGGAACTCCCAGGTGCACATCTCTCTTACTGTATTCACTACCCTGTATTATGAAGATCTGTTTGTGTGTCTGTCTTCCCCATCGGGATGTGCGGCAGGGACTATGTCTTATTCCTCACATTAGTGCCAGCATCCAGCACACTGGGAGCACTGCCTGTCAGTAAACAGTGATGATGGTGTGATCGCCACACCTAGAGGACCAACAGCGAGAACTGACACCACCATACAACACGCTAAGCGTGTTTTCACACCATCTCTTTTAATCCTCGCAATGAGAAGATTGACTGCAATTCCCCTTTGGCAAATGAGGAAACTGTTGCACAGAGAGATTGAGAAATTGTCTGTGGTACCCAGCTGGTGAGTGGGACCACCCACCCACCCATCCACAAGAGTCATCAGACCCCAGAGTCTGCCCTTCTGCCCCAATTCTATATTGAATTCTATATTCTCAATCCAAACAAAACCAGTTCCAACAGTTAGGATTCTTAGAAAGAAATAACATTTGAATAAGTAATGTCTCTTAGATTATATATAATTATATATAATGTGCCAAACTATTAAGTGGTAAAAAAGAGGATAAAAGAGAGTAAAGCACAACCGAATCATTTTCATAACAAATTTTGCACATCTTAAATAAAATGTCATGCACAAAAATGCAGACATAGGTAAAAGAGGGGCATTCTTTGATTGAATTGTAAGACCTACTCACACTCAGAAACCTACAGGCTCAATGACCAGGAAAGAAACCAATGAATCCTTCAGCTACATCCCGACATTTCTCATTTTCAAACCAGTGAGTCTATTCTACCCTCTAAAACCTTTGGGTTCCTAAACAATTAACACAATTGGCCTGCTTACAGGGAGAACTAAAGGAATGATAATAACCCTAACCCATTATAAAGACTATTACAAACCTCACATAAACTCAGGAGTTGCATTTACTGGAAGTGGGATCTCCCATTGTCATGTAATTATACTCTAATTATGCAGGCAAACACTGTTCTCGAAAATGCTTTTCGATTCACACTGATTAAGTTATGCTGCTCCATACATGCAGGACAACAAAGCGGGGAGGTGGGCTGAGGGGGCAGGATGCAGAATAAACATGAGACCGACCTTGCAGAGGTCAAAAGAACAACAGATGCATTCTCCAGGCTTTTGAAAAAAAACTGATCGTGCAGGGAACGTGTTTTCATGAGCACCCCTCTTCAGAAGCTTAATCTGGCCTACAAACTGGGCAAAAGAGGTGAGCATGTGTGCAGTTTACTCATTTGTGTTCTGAATGCAAACGTTATTATTTGAGGATTTGCACAAAATGTGACATGGAGACACTGTGAGGAAAAGGGGAGGCAAAGAGCAATTTTCAGTCCAACAGTATTATTATTTAGATACAGCCTCCACTCCAGTGACTAGTAAGCCCTCTTAACAAACAACCCATCCTGAAGGGAAGAAGTCG